GGTGCTATTTTTTGGAGCATGAGGTGTGAATTGAAGTCAGTTTGCTTACTGCAGTGAAAATTGGCTTTTACAGTAAGATAGAACATATTTTCAGCTTCATTTTTAAACTATGGCACCTTGGACACACCGTGATATCCTAAGAATCGGTTCACTTGGATTCTGCTAGCATCTACCTCTATGGCTAAACCCAGGGATCTTTGCCACAGCAGAAACACCGTTCCTTACCTCTAAAACCATGAATATTTTCCTGGGTCTCTCAATCACACGATACAATCGGCAAATGTGCTGGTGACTCAAGTCCTTCATGGCATCAATTTCTAATTTAACACGAGGCAAGTCATCCTAAGAGATCACAAYGGCAAGGCTGACAAATAATTGACAATTATTTTGACAGTCTGTACATCACAGTAAGCCTGTACAACACAAGTGATTAAACTCAAAGCAGCACCAGTTCTGTCACTGCTCACCTGCCCTCCTCACACACTGCTCAGTAAAACCCTAAGGAGAGATGTATAATAGTTATCATTCTCACCAACACTCCCTTTGACTTACAGGAATTCCATTTAATATTGAAAGCTGTAATCCCCTCAGTTTTACAGCCAGAGAATGTTGCCCTCTTCACATGAGGGCATGGGATTTTTGGTGCTGTTAAAATTCTTTCAAGCCTGCAGCATCTACTACTAGTCCACAGCGACAGGTCACACCTGTATTCCTAAAAACTCCATGGGAACAGCACATTACCAACTACGAAGCATCTTTTGGATTACCTGTAAAGCAAGTTTGTCCATGATTTTTATTGCAACTTTTTCACCAGTGAGACGATGCCATGCAAGTTTTACCTTTGCAAATCCACCTAGAATTTGAAACAGAGATGTGTAAAGCTTTGCACGGTGACAAGCTTTCTCATCCATAATCTCAGTCACCTTGAAGCAAATACCATATTCACAGCATGTAGCGTCTTGGCTAAAGGAAGAAGCAATTGCTGCCACAACCTTCTACTTTTCCACAGTTTCGCCCCACAAAATACACCGTGGAAACAGGACACACAGACTCTGAAGTAACAGTTAATCTCTCAGATAAACTCCAAGGTGAGTGGACAAATCACATACACTCGTCTGCATCCACAGACTGAGCCCACCTGTGCCGACTGTTCCGTGTATTTCATGGTACCTGAGAATTTCCTCATAGT